CTCAGGGTTGCTGTGCAAAGGGCAGAGTGTGTGCAGACTTTGGATCAGGAGTTCCTCGGGCCTCTGCAGTCCCTGGGTGGCCTCACCCACAGGTGCCTGGGGCCAGGGCTGATCCCTTCCCTCAGCTAGGACTTGGAGGTGACCTTGTGCCATAGAACGATTCCAGCCTCCAATGACCCGACCACATTTCTCAGTCTCTGAGTCTCCGCGGTAGCAGGCTGCCTGCCATGGCTTTCTCTCTCGGGCACCTGGTGGGCTCGAACCGCAACCATTCGTCCAGGTGCTTTAGCTGCTGTGCCAGCCGGATCCCTTTTGGGGTGTTTAGAGAGACCATCTGCAGAGTGGGGAGTTCACATGTGTCGTAGGCCCCCCAGAACAGTCAGCTGGCCCTCAGGAGAGCTCCTGTGTGCTTTATGCCCAGTTGACGGTGCCCCTGTGTTTGCCTGCTGTTCACCAAGACGATGCAGGTGGGTGGTCACGGACGAAGGTGAAGGTCTAGGTGAGCACAGCCAGAGCACAGGCACCTGAGCCTCGGACTGACCGGCATGTGGACTTCCATGAGCGTTGTCTGAGATGTAGAGAGGAGGTGGGTGTGGACAGATGAGCTGCCCTCCACCTGACTGCCAGGCTGGGCTAAGGCCCTAGCTCATCACCGGGTGGGTTCTCCTATTAATCTTGCAGCTCATTGTGCAGTTTGAGTCTAAGGTCATCCACTCACTGCCAACATCCTAGTCAGATGGTGATCTCTGTGTGGGCCTCGGTGACCACTGCCAGGCCCTCGATGGCAGTGGTGTGAGGTCTGTGTTATACAGCAAAGCACCTTCTTGTGTGGAGGGAGCTGCTCTTTTGCTTTGAAGGGATCTGCTTCTCCTTTGGGGTGGAAGCAATCTGTTCCATTGTGTATCTAAAAAACAAGTCATTTTGTGTTCAGTGCTGCGTCCTTGGGACTAGACAGTTCCACACAGCGTGGTTGTCCACGTGGTGGCCCGAGTACAGCAGGAGCCTTAGCCCCGGCCTGTGGCCATATCCTCAGATCTCACCAACACACCATCTTCTCAAGCAGCTGCTCCTTTTACAGCCCAGGGCCGGTGGTCAGACAGCGCTCCGGGTCCCTTGCTGTTTCCATTGGCCAGTTCCCGTAACTACGTGGTCAGACTTGTCCTTCTGCACTATCTTGGGTGGGGATCAGCGGGGCTTTCTTCCTAGTGTGTTTGAGTCAGGATGCTCTGATGAAACCTGCCCATCCCAAGTGACCCCGCTGGCCTTTGAAATACCAGTGAGGCAGCGTCTAGCCACGGGAGCTCCACAGCCTGAGAGGTCGGTGCAGTCGCACCTCGATCACACAGTGTCAGCGCCGCCCTGGGCTGACCCACAGGCTTGTGACTGACCACTACTCAGGCAGCTCCTTGCTGATTTAGTCCAGAGGCCTGGCTGCTTGGGCGGGGGGGTGTTGGCCCCAGCTCTGCACTTGCCTGGGGTCTGATGCTCGAGGTTGGGTATCCGCACAGTGGGAAAGGTTAGACAGTCACACGGGAGAAAACAGGCCACCGCTGTTGAGTCCACTTGAGAACAGCCTACTGGGCATCTGAAGCTGTGACCTTCATGGGGAGAGCACCCGTCTCCCCCAGCAGTATCTTCTGGCTTTGTCCCTTTGACCCAGTTTTCTCTGAACATCCATCGCCCGCCCACCCAGTGGGTCCTGGTGGGGCTGCTGACTTGCAGTTAGAGGGAGGGGCTCAAGCGTCCCAGCGGGCGTGGGTAGGGTCTGTCCTCCGTGTGTCCTCTGCATGAACATGAACGCAGCATGGTAGAGGCCCTGGAGGCTGACCTCTGGCTTCTCCCAGGTAGGAGCTAGGGTAATAGTTCCCCGTAGTGGTGAGTTGGTGGCAGAGGCCCACGTCCAGGGTTCTGGAGTGTGTGCACGCATGCGTCCGTACACACAGGTATGTGTGAACATGTGTGTGCGCGTGTGTATACCAGGACAGCCTCGGGAGCAGTGCGCTGCGTCCTTCTTGACGTGCCCAGCCCGTGACTGAAGAACCAGCTGTCCCCATCCCTGTGTTCTCCTGCGCTGGCCCTCTCCAACCCTCCTTCACCATGCCACTCACAACCTGCACGTCCTGACGTTACCTAGACGTGTTTCCAAGGGTCTTTGGAAGGTGGGGGTTTTGTTTTCTGAAATCCCTCATCAATGATGTGAAAATCAGCGCTCCACCACATGGTGGGAGGCTCCTGAGCGTGGTAGCCTCCCAGATTGTCTGAGGCTGGCTGTAGAAGGGAGTGGGGTCCCTGGGCACATCCTACCGGCCGATGACGACCCAGATGCTGTCCCATGAGCTCAAGGACCAGTTCCTGGTAGAGGAGTAGACACATCTGGGTGCCCCAGACTGCCCCCCGAGTCTTGTGTTTGTATAGAATTTCTTACTTCGTTGTTCTGATGTTTGTGGGGAACCTTTCCTGTGGCTTCTAGAGCTGTGTACCTGTGTGGTCAGCGGCCCCACTGGGACATGGAATGGCAGCGCACATAGCCGCTTCCTTCTGCCCGTCTCCCGCAGGTACGTGTCACAGGGCAAGCATGCAGAGGCCCGGGAGCTTATGTATTCAGGGGCATTACTGTTCTTCAGCCACGGTCAGGTAAGCACGTGATTGGCACTCAGCTACCTGGGCCAAGGGCAAATGCTCTGGGGGCATCCCTGTCCTCGTGGAAAGGGAGGGAGTGTCCAGGCAGACCTCCTGCTGACTTGAGGAGGAGTCACGGTCCAGACGGATGCGGGGGGCTGACTCCTACAAAGTTCAGCGTCCACCCTCCCTCCCTCTCCTTCCTGCATCACGAGTTTCTCGACTTGCCGCCTTTGTGCTGAGGACCCGCTCCACTCCAGCAAGTCCTGAGCAGCAAAGGCCCTCACCCACCTCTGTGGCATCCACACTCCCTGTGTGTAACACCGCTCTCGAGGATGCCCTCGTTTGCCGCCTTAGCGGGCTGTCCACACCCACGGAATCAAAGTCCCAGTGACAGTGGCTGGTCACACCACAGCCTATCCACACTCTTGGGCAGCGGACAGGGATCGGGGTGAACGCAGGCTCAGCGACCACACAACAACACTGAGAGCTGGGGGCCTCCCCGCCTCGTGAGCTATGTGCCCCTGATGGACCTCCCGCACACACCACACCACGGGCCCCATGTCCTTGATGGACTCCCTCCCCCGCACCCTACTGAGGCCCGCGTGTCCCTGACGGCCGGCTCCTTGGTGTGTTTGTAGCAGAATAGCGCCGCAGACCTGTCTATGCTGGTGCTGGAGTCCCTGGAGAAGGCGGAGGTTGACGTGGCCGACGAGGTGCTCGGTGAGTCCTGGTATCTACAGGTGGGGCGCTGTCCCTGGGGAAAGCTGGCTGGCTGGCCCCGCAGAGGTCGGAGAAACCTCACAGGAGGTCCCTGTTCCCGAATCAGACAGGCTCCATGAGGTGGTGCAGCTGTGATCTAGGGCCCAGTGGGCCTTCCTTCCCTTCCACATCGCCCTGTGGACCTCTTTCCCTCATGAAGCCAGCTCCCACTGTGCCCCCCTGCCTCCTGGTGGCCCTGTACAGCTGGGCCAGGAGGCAGGAAGGCTTGGTTGCAGGGTGCATGGAGCTGCTGCTGTAGAGGAGGGACTGCTGGAGGCACACCAGGAACCAAGGATGTATTTGGGGTTTGGTGTATCCCAGGAAGCAGGGACCTGTCAGGCTGGGGGTATATGTCCGGGACAGGAGGTGTGTTGAGAGCCATGTCCATCAGGACCCAGGGCATGTCCTGGAGAAGTGGCGTGTGTTGGGAACCAGGTGTGTGGGGACAGAGCAGCCTTTCACTGCGCCCTCAGTTCTCTACTGTTCAAACCAAGGAACACACAAGCACATGGGACCCCTCAGCGAGGTCCTGGGCTGTTGTTTCAGGAAACCTGGCCAAGCTGTTCAGTTTGATGGACCCCAACTCCCCGGAGCGGGTGGCATTTGTATCCCGAGCCCTCAAGTGGTCTGGAGGCGGGTCCGGGAAACTGGGGCACCCCAGGCTACACCAGCTGCTGGCCCTCACCCTGTGGAAAGGTAGGCATGTGGCCCAGACCACTCACTGGGGCCCTGAGCTCCAGGATCTGGGGGCTGAATGTGAGCTGTCCTTGGCCGGCGTCAGAGGCTGTACAGTGAGTCACTCCCGTGTCGGCCCCCAGCTGTCCCTGTTCCCTCTGGTCAGATGGGTAGGGAGAACGTGGACAGAGTATATCCGCGTGTTCTGTGGCGCCCCTCCTCCCTGGACCTACACAGTAGCCAGCGTGTCCTGTTCCCTGTTGAGGTCTACGAGCAGTTCAGTGGACAGTGAGGTGACTGAAAATAAGCCTCAGTGGCATCTTGGGGCTATTATGGCTGGTCGTCCAGGAGGCTGTGGGTGGAGTGTGAGGGAGTCAGGTTCATAATGAAACTGAGTCTCAGAGTCTGGAACAACAAGGTCTCCCCTAGACCTGACCCCAGCACAGGGAGACTGTAGAGGTGGGGTCTCAGCACGGATGATAGGTTCTCAAGAGAAAGGACAGCTATGGGGGGTCCTCCTGGCCTGTGGGGGTTCCAGAATGCCTGTATGTGACATCCAGGCGGCGGTGCACCCAGGCAGCAGTGAGCTGGTGCCGGTCTCTGGGCACCATCCGCACAGGTTAGCCTGGTGACCTTTCCCTTCGAGCTGTGAGCTGATTGTCGATGCTGAACCACTGTGTGTGCAGGGGGCACAATGTCCACCGAACCCTATCAGCCCGAAGCGGCCAGGGGTGCTGTCTGATGTGGGGGATGGGATCAGGGTGCTGTCTGTGGGGGGCTGGGATCAGGGTGCTGTCTGATGTGGGGGATGGGATCAGGGTGCTGTCTGTGGGGGGCTGGGATGGGGGTGCTGTATGATGGGGGTCTGTCTGGTGTGGGGGTCTAGAGGGCTAGGATGGAGTGCTGTCTGGTCTGGCGGTCCGGGGAGTGGATCTTGGTGCTGCAGCCTGAGCTCCCCCTTCCCCCACAGAGCAGAACTATTGTGAGTCGCGGTACCACTTCCTGCATTCGGCCGACGGGGAGGGCTGTGCCAACATGCTGGTGGAGTATTCCACGTCGCGGGGCTTCCGCAGTGAGGTGGACATGTTTGTGGCCCAGGCTGTGCTCCAGTAGGTACTCTGCGTTGCCGAGGGCGTTCCAGCGGGCAGGGGGCACTGCAGGGTCGCTCTGGACAGGTCAGCCTGCCCTCCTCAACACTTCCTGCCCCGTCAGCACCCTTAGTCACTGGTTCTGCATTGACCTATAGGATGGAATCCTGTGTCGCTGCAGACAGAACAAACTCACCACCAGGGGTCACCCGCACCAGCCTCCTCTGGGCCCCAGACCTTGGGCCCTGCATCGTCCACTCCCTGTCACCGTGCACTTGTCATCATCCATTCCTCCTTATCATCCACTTGCTGTCATTGTCCATTTCCTGTCCTGCCGACCCCGTGTCCTGAACAAGCTCTCCCTAGAGGCAGCTCCCTTGAGGGGATAGCGGGGAAGGTGCTCTGTGGAGGGGGGACGAGAACCAGCCCAGCCTAGCCTGCAAGCCACCCCTCAGCACCCGCTCTCACCAGCACCTCGGACAGCCAGTGAGATAAGATAGCACATAGTAGAAGGGACACACAGTAACCTGTGGTGCCCTTGAGTTCCTGTCCACCAGTCTGGAGTGCTGCAGTTCAGGGAGCGGCCAGAGCAGGCGGGAGCTGTGGGTCTGCTGTGGGGCCACCTGGTGTGCAGGCCCTGCTGAGGTGGGAGGTGCACTGAGCAGCCCCATGGTGGTGGGGGCCGCGGAAGAGCGTGTGCCCTGCAGAGGCAGCTGTGCTGACAGCACAGATGCAGGCAGTCTGCACTCACCTGCTGCTCCTTCTTCAGATTTCTCTGCTTGAAAAACAAAAGCAGCGCTTCTGTGGTGTTCACGACCTACACACAGAAGCACCCGTCCATCGAGAGCGGACCCCCATTTGTTCAGCCCCTTCTCAACTTCATCTGGTTCCTGCTGCTGGCAGTGGACGGGTGAGCTCTCTGCTGGGGAGGTGTGTGTGTTCTGTGGACAGGGGACCTCTGGTTGGCAGGGGTGTGTGGTCTTCTTTCGACACGTGAGCTCTTTATGGTGGGGAGGTATGTGTGTGTGTTCTGTGGACAGG